ATCCAGCATTCTCCTTGGCTTTGTGTTGGTGACTATAACTCTGTTCTTCATGCTTCTGATAGGCTTCATGGTGCTGATGTTACTGATTATGAGACTAGAGACTTTCAGAATTTGGTTGATGATTTGGACCTCCCTGAGCTCAAAAGCAAAGGGTCCTTCTACTCTTGGTCTAATAAGGCTCATACTGGCCCTAGAACGCTCTCTAGACTTGATAGAGCCTTTGGTAATCAAGCTTGGTTAGCTTCTCATGGGCATGTGGAGACTGTTTATCTCCCTCCTTCTTTATCTGATCATAGTCCAATTTTGTTGGATATTTACTCTGGCCCTATTGGGAAAGGTAGACCTTTCCGATTTCTAAATTTTATTGCTGATCACCCTGATTTTCTTGATACTGTTTCGCAGGCTTGGGGCTCTGGTAGTTCTGTTTGGCAGAAGCTCAATTCTGTGAAGTCTAGTATCAAATCTCTTACTAGCAAGCAGTTTGGTAACATTGAGAAAAAGATTGACCAGGCTAATGTTGAGCTTTCTAGAATTCAAACCTTAATGGCTCAGAACCCTGATGATTTGGATTTATATGCTCAAGAATCTGATGCTATTAAGGTTGACAAGCACTGGAATGATATTCAGGAAAGCATCTTCAAGCAAAAATCTAGGATTAATTGGGTAAAGCTTGGAGATGGCAATTCTCACTACTTCTTCTCTGTGATGAAGACTAGGCAAGCAAGGAATAGAATTGACTCCATTTTTTATTCTAATCAGGTGTTGCTCAAGGATCCATATGCTATTTCTCATGTAATTATCTCGTTCTATAAGTCTCTATTAGGGACTCAGGCTCCTTGGCTCCCTGTTGTTGACCTTGTTACTATGCGGAGGGGTAAGCAGCTTAGCTCTGCTGCTCAGAGCTACCTCATTAGGCCTATTTCTCATGCTGAAATTGATGTCGCCCTTAAGGGAATTGATAACACTAAAGCTCCTGGTATTGATGGCTTTAACTCCTTTTTCTTTAAGAGAGCTTGGCATATTGTGAAAGATGATATTTATGCAAGTGTTATTGATTTCCTTAATAATCGGATCTTGCCTAGGCAATGGAATTGCACAATTATTACTTTGGTCCCTTAAGTCCTTTCTGCTTCTCATGTTAAGGATGTTAGACCTATAGCCTGTTGTACTGTGGTCTATAAGCTCATTTCTAAGGTCTTAACTGCTAGGCTTGCTACTATCATTGGTGAGGTGATTGATGATACTCAGGTAGGGTTCATTCCTGGCAAGCACATTGGTGACAATATTCTTCTTGCAACTGAATTGATCAAAGGCTATGATCACAAATTTATCTCTCCCAGGTGTATGGTTAAGGTGGATTTGAAGAAAGCTTATGATTCAGTTGAGTGGGGATTCTTGATCACTGTCATGTAGGAGCTTGGTTTCCCTCGGAGAATTGTTGATTGGATGTGGAATTGTCTTACTTCTGTCTCTTACTCTATTCTTATTAATGGTTTTCCTGCCCCCCCCCTTTGAAGCTAAGAAAGGGTTAAGACAAGGTGACCCTATGTCTCCCTTTCTTTTTGCTATTGGTATGGTATACCTCTCCAGATGCCTTAATGAGGTTAGGTTATCTCCTGATTTTAACTTTCACCCTAGATGTGAAAAGTTAAACCTAACTCACATGATGTTTGCTGATGACTTATTGATGATTTCTCGAGCTGATAGTGTTTCTGTTAAGCTTCTCTTCCAAGTCTTCTAGAAATTCTCGGGTGCCTCTGGGGATTTCTGATAATCTTGATAAAAGTGAAGTCTACTTTGGAGGAGTCTCTGTTGATGTCTAGAAAGAATTGAGGGAGCTTCTTGGTGTTTCTCAAGGCTCCATTCCTTTTAGGTATCTTGGGGTCCCTCTCTCTTCAAAGAAGCTTACTATTGTTCAATGTAGGCCTTTGGTGGAGAGAGTCACTACTAAAATTCAAGGATGGATGGCTAAAAATTTGTCCTATGCTGGGAGGCTTCAATTGGTGAAGAGTGTGTTGTTTGGTATTCAGACTTATTGGGCTCAAATTTTTATTCTTCCGAAGAAAATTCTGAAAGAGATCGAGGCTAGGTTCAGGTGCTTTCTTTGGACTGGATCCTCTGCTCCTGCTAAGAAGTCTTTGGTTGCTTAGAATAATGTCTGTCTTCCTAAAGTTTGTGGTAGCTGGAACTTGCTTTCCCTTCCTGAGTGGAATAAAGCAGTTGTCACTAAGTTACTCTAGGATATTGCTCATAAGGCTGATAATCTTTGGGTTAAGTGGGTCCATATCTACTATTTCAAGCATAAATATTGTTGGACCACCCCTACCCCTGCTAGATGCTCATGGTTTTTAAAGAAGATTTTGAGTTGTAGAGATATTGTGAATGATCAAGGGGGATGGGATGGGTTTGTTCAGGGCAACAAGTTGAAAATCAAGAAGCTTTACGCTGCTATTAGGCCTCAAGTGCCTAAAGTTCCTTGGAAGAGAGTTACTTGCCATAACTTAGCAACTCCCAAAAGTGTTTTTATCTTGTGGCTAGCTTTGTGGAATAGGCTTGTCACTAAGGATAGGTTGCTTCAATGGCACATCTCTTGTGATCCAAAGTGTTTCCTATGTCTGAATGGCAATTAAAGTGTTCAGCATTTATTTTTCGATTGTGATTTCTCTAGGAAGGTTTGGAGCAAGGTATTGGGTATCTTAAGTGTTTCCAAGCCTGTTCAGCAGTTTAGTGATGAGGTCGATTGGTTGAAGAAAATCTGTAGAAGTTCCAGATTGAAGAATAAAGTGATCCAAGGGGCCTTTACTGAAATGGTTTATGGTATTTGGATCCAAAGGAATGCAGTTCTGTTTACTGGTTGCTGCAAATCTGTTGATGCCCTTGTTCGGGATATTTTCTTTCATTCAGTTTTCTTTGTACCTCTGCTGCTGTGTTTGTTGGGTGTACTGCTGTGCTTTGCTGAGCTTTGTTGCTGCACTGCTGGTTGTGCTTCTGCACTGTGGTTTTGGTGCTTTTGTTGTTGCTGCAATGTGTTGCTGTTATGTTGTTTGCTGTTGCTGCTCTGCTATCTGCTGCTGCTATTTTTCTTCTGCTGCTGCTGCACTATTCTGCCTTGCTGCACCTTGCTGCTGATGCTGTGCTTTTGGTGTTACTGTGCACTGTTGTCTTGCTGCTGCACTGCTGGTTGTGTTACTGCACTGCTGTTTTGGTGCTGTTGTTGTTGCTGCAGTGTGTTGTTGTCTGTTGGTGCTGTTTGCTGTTGCTGCGCTGCTGGTTTATGCTGCTGTACTGGTGCTGTGCTGCTGCTGCACCTTTGCCTTGTTGTGCCTTGCTGCTTGTGCTGTGCTCTGCTGTTGGTGCTGCTGTGCACTGCTCTGTGCCATGCTGTCTGCTTTTGGTGCTAGCTTTGGTGCTCTTTTTTGTTGTTTATTTTTGTTCCATTGGTTTTCTGGTCGGTTTGCAGGCATGTCTGCTCCTGGCTGTAGTTTTTTTGGTGACTTTCGGGTGTTTGGCTTTGTTGTTTTTCTGGTTATTTATTGTCTGGTCCTGGTTTCCGGAACCCTTCCTAGAAGGTGGCCGGAAATCTGAGTCCAGTTGTTCTAGGCCCTTCCTAGAAGGTGGCTAGGTTTGGATCTAGAACTGGTTGTGGGGTGGCCTGTTGTTTTCAGGTCTTTTGGAGTTCTGGTGGTAGTTATAACTTAGCTTTTGTAAGTTGTAACTTTCTCTCTTTGGTAATAAAATCTTATTTTCCAAAAAAAAAAAAAAAGTTTTTTGAATCAAATGAAAGTCAATACACATTCAAACAAAGCTTTTTGAATCAAATGAAAGTTAAACACGTTAAAACAAAACTTTTTTAGCCAAATGAAAGTCAAACATATTCAAACAAAGCTTTTAAAGTTAAATGAAAGTCAAACACATTCAAACAAATATTTTTAAATCAAACGAACGTCAAACACATTCAAACAAAGCTTTTTGAATCAAATTAAAGTAAAACACATTTAAACAAAGCTTTTAGTATTAAATAAAATTCAAATGCATTCAACAGAGATAATTGAATTAAATGAAAGTCAAACCCATTCAAACAAAGCTTTTTGAATCAAATGCAAGTCCAACACATTCAAACAAATTTTTTATAATCAAATGAACGTCAAACACATTTAAACAAAGCTTTTTTAATCAAGTGAAAGTCAAACACATCCAAACAAGGCTTTTTGAATCGAATAAGAGTCAATTGTATTCAATGAAGCTAATTTAATAAAATGAAAGTCAAACACACTCAAACAAAGCATTTTAAATCAAATGAAAGTCAATCACATTCAAACAAAGCTTTTAGAATTGAATAAAAGACAACTGTATTCAACGAAACTAATTGAATTAAATGAAAGTCAAACACATTCAAACAAAGCTTTTTGAATCAAATGAAAGTCAAATCCATATAAACAAAGCTTTTTTAATCAAATGAAAGTCAAAAAAATTGAACAAATCTTGTTAAGTCAAATGAAAGTCAAACACATTCAATCAAAACTTTTAAAATCTATGCCAACCTCTGTGTGGGTTGAGAGTCTTTCGAAGGAATTATTGGAGATCAGGGTGGTGTATGATTGGGCTCCTTCTTTTTTCTCTAAGTATAACAAGATTGGTCATGATTGCTCTGTTAAGCCTTCTTTGCCTAAGCAGGCTACTAAGCAACCGGCTCCTGTTCTTCCTAAGCAAAAGCAAGTTTGGGCTCCTAAGCCTACCCATGTTCCTACTTCTTCTGCTGCTGTTGATGTTGGGGTTTCTGTTCATGGTCAATCTATTATTACTCCACAGGTTCATACCTCTAAGAATTCAGATGAGGGTTGGAGAATAGTAGGGAGGAAAACAAAAAGCCAGCAAACTAGAGTTCATCAGCCTGCTTCTACTTCTAATGCCTTTGTTGCTTTGTTTGCAAATGAAATGGATGGTGCAGGTGGTTTCACAATAAATCCAAGCGGGGGTGAGGTTAATCCCCCTTTGGTGTCATGATTTACTCTATTTGGAATGTCAGGGGCCTGAATGACCCTGGCAAAGTTGCCTATGTAAGGAGGTTGCTTCACTCTCATTCAATTTATGTTGTTGGATTGCTTGAAGGAAAAATAAAATTGAAAAATGTTCTCACTTATCAGAGGAAGTTTGGTTCTTCTTGGCTTTGGTTGTGTAATTATGATAATTCTCCCGAAGGGAGGATTTGGCTTGGTTGGAATGTGGATAGAGTAAAGGTTAATGTCTTGAAGATTCAAATTTTTCTCACTGTTGTCTATGGTCTTCATTCCATTCATGATAGGCTTTCTTTGTGGGAGGGGCTCAGAAGCATCTCTATCCAGCATTCTCCTTGGCTTTGTGTTGGTGACTATAACTCTGTTCTTCATGCTTCTGATAGGCTTCATGGTGCTGATGTTACTGATTATGAGACTAGAGACTTTCAGAATTTGGTTGATGATTTGGACCTCCCTGAGCTCAAAAGCAAAGGGTCCTTCTACTCTTGGTCTAATAAGGCTCATACTGGCCCTAGAACGCTCTCTAGACTTGATAGAGCCTTTGGTAATCAAGCTTGGTTAGCTTCTCATGGGCATGTGGAGACTGTTTATCTCCCTCCTTCTTTATCTGATCATAGTCCTATTTTGTTGGATATTTGCTCCGGCCCTATTGGGAAAGGTAGACCTTTCCGATTTCTAAATTTTAGTGCGGATCACCCTGATTTTCTTGATACTGTTTCGCAGGCTTGGGGCTCTGGTAGGTCTGTTTGGCAGAAGCTTAATTCTGTAAAGTCTAGTATCAAATCTCTTACTAGCAAGCAGTTTGGTAACATTGAGGAAAAGATTGACTAGGCTAATGATGAGCTCTCTAGAATTCAAACCTTAATGGCTCAGAACCCTGATGATTTGGATTTATATGCTAAAGAATCTGATGCTATTAAGGTTGTCAAGCACTGGAATGATATTCAGGAAAGCATCTTCAATCAAAAATCTAGGATTAATTGGGTTAAGCTTGGAGATGGGAATTCCCACTACTTCTTCTCTGTGATGAAGACTAGGCAAGCAAGGAATAGAATTGACTCCATTTTTTATTCTAATCAGGTGTTGCTCAAGGATCCATATGCTATTTCTCATGTAATTATCTCGTTCTATAAGTCTCTATTAGGGACTCAGGCTCCTTGGCTCCCTGTTGTTGACCTTGTTACTATGCAGAGGGGTAAGCAGCTTAGCTCTGCTGCTCAGAGCTACCTCATTAGGCCTATTTCTCATGCTGAAATTGATGTCGCCCTTAAGGGAATTGATAACACTAAAGCTCCTGGTATTGATGGCTTTAACTCCTTTTTCTTTAAGAGAGCTTGGCATATTGTGAAAGATGATATTTATGCAAGTGTTATTGATTTCTTTAACAATGGGATTTTGCCTAGGCAATGGAATTGTACAACTATTACTTTGGTCCCTAAAGTCCTTTCTGCTTCTCATGTTAAGGATTTTAGACCTATATCCTGTTGTACTGTGGTCTATAAGCTCATTTCTTAAATCATAACTGCTAGGCTTGCTACTGTCATTGGTGAGGTGATTGATGATGCTCAGGCAGGGTTCATTCCTGACAAGCACATTGGTGACAATATTCTTCTTACAACTGAATTGATCAAAGGCTATGATCACAAATTTATCTCTCCCAGGTGTATGGTTAAGGTGGATTTTAGGAAAGCCTATGATTCGGTTTAGTGGGGTTTCTTGATCACTGTCATGCAAAAGCTTGGTTTCCCTCAGAGATTTGTTGATTGGATCTGGAATTGTCTTACTTCTGTCTCTTATTCTATTCTTATTAATGGTTTTCCTGCCCCACCCCCCCTTTGAAGCTATGAAAGGGTTTAGGCAAGGTGATCCTATGTCTCCCTTTCTCTTTGCTATTGGTATGGAATACCTCTCCAGATGCCTTGATGAGTTTAGGTTGTCTCCTGACTTTAACTTTCACCCTAGATGTGAAAAGTTAAACCTAACTCACATGATGTTTGCTGATGACTTATTGATGTTTTCTCGAGCTGATAGTGTTTCTGTTAAGCTTCTTTTCCAAGCCTTCTCGAAATTCTCGGGTGCCTCTGGGCTGTCTGCTAATCTTGACAAAAGTGAAGTCTACTTTGGAGGAGTCTCTGTTTATGTTCAGAATGAGTAAAGGGAGCTTCTTGGTGTTTCTCATGGCTCCATTCCTTTTAGGTATCTTGGGGTCCCTCTCTCTTCAAAGAAGCTTACTATTGCTCAATGTAGGCCTTTGGTGGAGAGAGTCACTTCTTGAATTCAAGGATGGATGGCTAAACACTTGTCCTATGCTGGGAGGCTTCAATTGGTGAAGAGTGTGTTGTTTGGTATCCAAACTTATTGGGCTCAAATTTTTATTCTTCCGAAGAAAATTCTGAAGAGATTGAGGCGAGGTTCAGATGCTTTCTTTGGACTGGATCCTCTGCTCCTGCTAAGAAGTCTTTGGTTGCTTGGAATAATGTTTGTCTTCCTAAAGTTTGCGGTGGTTGTAACCTGCTTTCTCTTCCTGAGTGGAATAAAGCAGCTGTCACTAAGTTACTTTGGGATATTGCTCACAAGGCTGATAATCTTTGGGTTAAGTGGGTTCATATCTACTATTTCAAGCATAAAGATTGTTGGACCACTCCTACCCCTGCTAGATGCTCCTGGTTTTTGAAGAAGATTTTGAGTTGTAGAGATATTGTGAATGATCAAGGGGGATGGGATGGTTTCGTTCAGGGCAACAAGTTGAAAATCAAGAAGCTTTATGCTGCTATTAGGCCTCAAGTGCCTAAAGTTGCTTGGAAGAGAGTTACTTGCCATTTTTTAGCAACTCCCAAGAGTGTTTTCATCTTGTGGCTAGCTTTATGGAATAGGCTTGTCACTAAGGATAGGTTGCTTCAATGGCACATCTCTTGTGATCCAAAGTGTTTCCTTTGTTTGAATGGCAATGAAAGTGTTCAACATCTATTTTTTGATTGTGATTTCTCTAGGAAGGTTTGGAGTAAGGTTTTGGGGATCTTGCGTGTTTCCAAGCCTGTTCAGCAGTTTAGTGATGAGGTTGATTGGATGAAGAAAATCTGCAGAAGTTCCAGATTAAAGAATCAAGTGATCCAGGTGGCCTTCACTGAAACAGTTTATGGTATTTGGTTTCAAAGGAATGCAGTTCTCTTTACTGGTTGCTGCAAATCAGTTGATGCTCTTGTTCGGGATATTGTCTTTCATTCAGTTTGTAGAATCCCGGCGGGAAGCAAATATTTGATTGTCTAGGGCTTGTCTCGGGCTCCTTGTGCGTGTGTTCTGGTTTCTTTCCTTTTTAGTTGAGGTTCCCGTTGTTCATGTTTTGTTTGCTGTTCTTTTTATGCTGGTGTGGCTATTTGTTTGCTGTCCTTGTGCTTTTGGTGCTGTGCTCTTCTAGGTGTTCTGCTGTACACTGCTATGCACTGCTTTCTGCCCTGCTGGTTTGGCCTCTGCTTTGCTGTTCTGGTGATATTGTTGTTGTTGCAGTGTGCTGCTGTTGTCTGGTGGTGCTGCTGCATTTTATGCTGCTGCTCTGGTCTGCTCAGTACTCTGCTGCCTGCTTTGGTGCTGTTGTTGTTGCTGTAGTGTGCTGCTGTAGGCTGTGGGTGGTGTTTGTTGCTGCTGCTTTTCTTCTCTGCTGTTCTGTTGTGCTTTGCTGCCTGCTGACTGCTTTGCTTCTGGGTGTTCTGCTGTGCTGTGCTGAGTGCTACTGTTTGCTGCACTGCTGGTGTGGTGCTGCTTGTAGTTTGTGTTCTGCTGTGCTTTGCTGAGCTGCTGGGTTGCTGCAGTGTGTTGCTGTTATGCTGTTTGTTGTTGCTGCTTTGCTTTCTGCTGCAGCTGGTTTGCTTCTGCTACTGCTACACTGTCCTGCCTTGCTGCTCTTTGTTGCTGGTGCTGCGTTCTGCTTTTGGTGTTGCTGTGCCCTGTTTTCTTGCTGCCGCACTGCTGATTTTGTTAATGCACTGCTGTTTTGGTGCTGTTTTTGTTGCTGCAGTATGTTGTTATTGTTGCTTTGGTGCTCGTTTTGTTGTTTATCTTTGTTCTTTTGGTTTCTTTAGTCGGTTTGCAGGCATGTCTGCTTCTGGCTGTAGTTTTTGGTGACTTCGGGTGTTTGGCTTTCTTGCTTTCTGGTTTTTTGTTATCTGGTCCTGGTTTCCGAAACCCTTCCTAGAAGGTGGCCGGAAATCTGAGTCCAGTTGTTCTAGGCCCTTCCTAGAACCCTCCCTAGAAGGTGGCTAGGTTTGGGTCTAGAACTGGTCGTGGGGTGACCTGTTGTTTTCAGGTCTTTTGGTGTTCTGGTGGTAGTTATAACTTAGCTTTTGTAAGTTGTAACTTTCTCTTTTTGGTATTAAAATCTTATTTTCCAAAAAAAGAAAAAAAAAGCTTTTCAAAATTAAATCAAAGTCAAACACATTCAAACAAAGATTTTTGAATCAAATGAAAGTCAAACACAATCAAACAAGCTTTATGAATCAATTAAAAGTCAAACATAGTAAAACAAAGCTTTTTGAATTAAATGAAAGTCAAACATATCATAACAAAGCTTTTTTAATCGAAAGAAAGTTAAACACATTCAAACAAATATTTTTTAATCAAATGAAATTATTATGCATTCAAACAAATCTTTTTAAATCAAATGAAAATCAAATACATTCAAACAAAGCTTTTTGTATCGAATGAAAGTCTAACACATTAAAACAAAGCTGAATGAATCTAATGGTACTTATGTACAAATTCAAACAAAGCTTGTAGAATCGAATGAAAGTCAAACACATTCAAACAAAGCTTTTTATATCAAATGAAAATCAAACACATTAAATCAAAACTTTTTTATTCAAATGAAACTCAAACACATTCAAACAAAGCTTTTTAAATCAAATGAAAGTCAAATAAATTAAACACATTCAAACAAAGCTTTTTGAATAATATGAAAGTCAAATGCATTCAAAAAAGCCAATTGAATTAAATGAAAATAAAACACATTCAAACAAAGCTTTGAGATTCTAATGAAAGTAAAAGAAAGCTATTAGAATCCAATGAAAGTCAAACACATTCAAACAAAGCTTTTTAAATAAAGTGAAAGTCAAATAAATTTAAACAAAGATTTTTGAATCAATTGAAAGTAAAACACATTTAAACAAAGATTTTTTTTGTCAAATGAAAGTTAAACATATTCAAAAAAAGCTTTTTGAATCAAATACATTTAAACAAAGCTTTTTAAATCAAATGAAAGTAAAATGCATTCAACGAAGCTAATTGAATTAAATGAAAGTCAAACACACTAAAACAAATTGTTTTGAATCAAATGTAAGTCAAACACATTCAAAAAAATCTTTTGAATCGAAAGAAACTAAAACAAATTCAAATAAACCTTTATAATTCAAATAAAAGTCAAACACATTTAAAAAAGCTTTTTGAATCGAATTAAAGTAAAAAATATTCAAACAAATCTTTTTTAATCAAATGAAAGTCAAACACATTCAAACAAAGCTTTTTTTAATTAAATTAAAGGCAAACATATTCAAACAAAGCTTTTTAAAACAAATGGAATTCAAACATATCAAATAAAGCGCTTTGAATCAAATGAAAGTCAAACACATTGTAACAAAGCTATTAGTATCGAATAAAAAAAATGCATTCAACAAAGCTAATTGAATTAAATGAAAGTCAAACACATTCATACAAGTATTTTAGAATCAAATGCAAGTCCAACACATTCAAACAAATCTTTTTAAATCAAATGAACGTCAAACACATTTAAACAAATCTTTTTTAATCAAATGAAAGTAAAACACATTTAAAAAAAGCTTTTT